TTGCTGCTGCTACCTCCGCTGCATTGACATGGAAATGTGAACATGAAATCTGGAATTGCTGGTTTGGTTTTTCTTCATTTTTCCATGGAACGTTGTTTGCCTCTTGATATTTGTTGCCTTTTGTTGTTCATTTTTTGTACCCTGTACTATACATTGTGTGGAGGGTATATTCATTTTGTTTTTTCATTTGCAATCATTTGCGATCCCACAAAGGACTTATATTTTCGATCAGAGGAATATAACTATATCCGTTTATCGGTTGCTACTGCTCTATCCATCAAAGGAATGGAGGAAGAAGACCGAAATGTTGAAGAATTTACCAATATTTTGAGTACTCAAAATACACAATATGTTCAGTTCGAAAAAAAAAAAAAAACAAGTAATATAGTACCAGTCGGTTTTTCTGACAGACGTATATCCCCTTATCCTTGAGTAATGATTATTCAAACTGTTGACCCTTTATGGGGTAGGTTCCGAAGCAGTTGGCCAATATTTGTCAATTCGTATCTGCCCTAAGACTAACAACAAATATTACAACGTGCCAGATTTGGAGATATGTGCAAATTTTTGGAAAATGTGGAAATATGCGTTAGGTACCAGATATAGCGGGCCGCTATGTGGGAGAGGTACCAGAAGGGGTTGGCAGATGTATATCATCTTCACAACAAATTTTGCAATAGAAATGTGTGAAATTTGAAAAGGTTTGGATGCTTATTTCGCCCTCTTTGAGCGCTTTGTTTTTCAAAATCTTAAACCCTATGTGGGGGAGTTACCAGAAGAAATGGTGCGATCTCTACCATCTTTATAACAGATCTTGTTTTGATGGAAATATTGAGATGTATCAAGTCTGAGTGGAATGCGACGTTATTTTCGCGTTTTATGAGCTTCATGGACACTCAAATTTTTTTTACCCTTTGTGGGGGAGGTACTTGAAGAAGTGGGCCGATATATCTTATCTTCACTCCACACCTTGGTTTAATAAAAACTATTGTGATGTGTGTAATTTGAAGAGAACCGGATGCTTATTTCGGATTAAATGATCGTTATGGTTATTCAAAATATTGACCCTTTGGGGGGAAGGAACCAGAAGTAATGGTCCGATCCCTACCATCTTTATAACATATTTTGCGTTGATCGAAGTATTGAGATGTGCCAATTCTTAATCGAATCGGATGTTAATTTTGTGTTTTATGCACATCATGAATATTCAAAATTTTGACCCTTTGTGGGGGAGGTACCTGAAGGAGTGAACTTATATATTCCATTTTCACACCAGACCTTGGATTAATAAAAAATATTGTGATGCGTATAATTTGAACACAATCGGACTTACATTTTATAATTGTTATAATTATTCCCAATTTTGATCCTTGATTGAGGTGACCGATATTGTCCATTTTCGCACCTGACCTAGAACTGATGCAAATATTTGGATTTGCAAAGTTGGAGCAAAATCGGATTATCATTTTTCATTCTGTGCACTAAAATATATTTTTTTTTTTTTGAAAATTTCGATTTTTTTTGAAAATTTCGATTTTGGTCATACCAATATTTTTATCTGTATTATATGAAGTGGAATATTACGATCCGACATGTCTGGTACTTCACGCATATATCTACGTATTCCAAAAATGTTCACGTATCTCATATAAAGTATAGGAAGTAGACGATATAGTCCAAATAGGATGGGCAGATGGTGCCATTGTAATATTTATATAAGTCAGATATAAATTGGACAATATTGGCCAACTGCTTCGAAACCTCCCCCATAAAGGGTCGACAGTTAGAATAATCATAACTCAAGGTTGGGGGGTATATATCTGTCGACAAAACCGACCGATACGATTTAACTTTTTTCTTATAATGGAAGGGTACTGCAAATTCTGTCCATCCTATCCGAATACCATTTCATACTGGTTTTTCCTAAAACTATGTTGGTGACTATCAGTTGGTTTCATGAATTTGTTGCACGAATGTGCCGGAATCCTCCATTGCCATATAAATTTGGCACATGGAAAATCTAGAGTTTATAACGTGGGGAAATTTGATTTAATTAAATGGTTTCGATGTTGTTGGTTTTATAACTCAAAAAACCAAAACAGAAAAAAAACTTGGAGCCTGTTCGTTGCATGCCATGCTTTCTTCTTCATTGCCGTCGATAGACAACAACTGGTTGTTGTGTTGTTTGTCGTGACCACCAATAGTAAATTATATAACATAGATACGAGTATGTTTATTATTTTTTGTTTTTATTTTGGTTTGCAGGAAAGAATTCAATGCGGACCTTCTTTGGGATTTAGTGAAAGGGTTTCATGTTTGAGTTTGTTGTTTGTTTTGGATTTGTTCACAACATATTTCCTTATATTAATCTGGTTATAAAAGATATACAAATTTTAGTGGAGATCTTTAGTTGAATGAAAGGAAATCAGTTTTCAGACATAGAAATGTATACAGTTGTGATCGAAATTATAGCAGTGTCCATACAAAAAAATTGCTTTGTTTAACAATTGTGTTTCTATTGTTCAATATTTTTTTTATTTATATGTGTCTGTTGGGAACTCACTTTTATGCCTCTGGAGGACATCTCTCTAAAGCTGATATGTCTAAGCAAGACGTGGTTTGAGTTAGCTTAGATGACAAAAAGAATCGCTGACATGTTTCGCAAGTTATGACAGATAAAAGTATTGAAAGTTGTGACCCTTTTGTGGGTGAGGTACCAGAAGGGATTCGCAGATATATATATATAATCTTAACAACAGATCATGTGTTAGCAAAAATGTTTGTATGTGTGAAATTTGAAGAGAATTTTTAAAATCTTGAACACTACAGGATAAAATAAAAAAACTGCAACAAAGTCAAACGCCATAACTTTTACATTTTTTTTTTAAATTTTATTGAATGAAAGCAAAAAATGTCGGAAATAGCATCAAATTTTAGAATAAGTTTTGATTTGTTCGATTTGGTCACCTTTGGCGCGAATTATGGCCTTCAAACGGCCAATGAAACAGTCACACGCTGCCCAAATGTTGCTCTGCGGTATTTTGGCCCATTTCCGGCGAAGCGCTTGCTTAAGATGATTGACACTTTGATATTTTTTAGTGTTAACCTTGCTTTCCGAAATACTCCAGACACAATAGTCCAACGGATTGGTATCCGGAGATTTTAGTGGCCATTGTGCGCTGGAAATGAAGCGAGGAACCTCATTTTTGTAATTATTCTTGGGTGACGCTGCTGAGTGCGATGGTGCTGAGTCCTCTTGGAATGTTCAAGGTCTGCGGCCAAAATGTTTGCGTGCTCAAGTCTTTAATACACCCTCCAGAATATTTTCGCGATAATATTCGGCATTTATTCTAATGCCACGGGCGATTAATATGAGCGGAGATCAACCATTGGCTGTTATGGAGGCCCACACCATCACTATGGCCGGCGCTTGAGTTCTGGTGGCCAACCGAAGATGCACATTTTCAGCTGACCTCTATGACAAGTAAACACGATCATTTTGTTTGTTTACAAACTGCTGGAAAAAGAATGTTTTCTCATGGGAGAAAACCAAATTCGACAGTGCACCACTTTCGGCCAAGCGAAGCAACTCTTTAGCTCTTTTGAGTCTATTTTCTTTCGGTTGCGGTGTAAGTTCTTGCACTTTTTGAAATTTCAATGGCTTTACCCCGAGCTCATTTTTCAATATTTGCCGAATGGAACATTGCGATATGTTCAGCTCTCGAGCCATTTTTCGGCCACTGCGATGCGGGTTTCGATCAAGTCGCTTCTTTACTTACTATTTCTACTGATGTCGATGTTTTCGTGGTTTGACGTCGGGCTACGCTACCAGTATCACGCTAACGAGCGATGTTACGAGACACAAAAGATTTATTCAAATTTAAATGCTGGAGTGCTCTAACGATAGCCACTTGTGGTTTTCCAGCCAAATATAAAGAAATCACAATATCACGCTTGAATTCCATCACGAATAACTTTTTTTCTGGAAAATTCTCACCAAAATGTTTTTGTACTCTTATATGCAATATATTGGTCTGTCACTGTAGCAGTCTGAATTTGGTTGCAGTTTTTTTCATCTCACCCTGTATACCCTCTCTAGCCATATGGCTGAGGGTGTAAAGGACTTGGGTCTCATGCCTTATAAAGTCACCAACAACGTCAAAAACAATCTTGATTGATTAGCCCCACTTTCACCTTGATGGCTACGTGAACAACCAAGATGGTCGCATCTGAGGTTCAGAAATTCTAAGAGTTGAGAAGTCCCTCCATCGTTAACGTGTGCATTTTTGTTTAGGTCAATTGTCAGCAATTTTTATGGTCGTAGTTGGACAATGTTTACTTTCAACAAGACGACGTTATGTTCCTCACAAGCAACGAAACCATTGCTCTTTTACGTTTCCGGACCGTGTAATCTCTTGAAGAGTTCATCACTATTGGCCACCAAGAGATTTTACTCCCTGCGACTTCTTCCTTTAGAACAGGTACATAATGAGTTGTACTACAAGAGCCCAGCGTCGATTCATGACCTGATAAAGACTATGGAGGGCATAGGGCAGCCATTTTACTATTTTGTTATGCAAAATTTCATGAAAAATCATTTGGGCATGTCATCGTACTCGTGGTGACTGTTTGGCTGATATTTCCTTCCATTATTCACGAAATACCAGACTTCTTATTATGAAATATATATAAATTTAAATATTATCTTTCTTTGAATGTCAATATTACACCTCTTATTAGGAAATCCTTGTTATGAAATCCCAAATTCCCTTTGTTTTATTTCTACCACCTTCTTGTATTTTCCAGTGCGAAATTAAAATTCTCAAAACAGACTCAATTTAAAACCTTAATTAAAACATTTTGTAAACTTATTTCCTACTAAAACTAGCAAAAACTGACATTGCATTTTGCAGAACCATACAACAACATTGTGCAGATTTTAATTCTCCATATTTGTATGCAATAAATATTCATTTTACAAAAATTCTTTTCTTCTTTAGATACAACCACTCTATGATTCATATCAACGCGATGTTGAAATCAATCTCTGGGAGCCCATCAATCGCTATTGGGCCGAATGCTATGAGGCCTGCAAGGTGGCATCGAAGAAGCGCAGTACATTCCAAGCTGAGAACAGAACGCTGTTCCAAGTAAGTAGGAAGATTAAAAACACTCAGACATGCATAACAACAATAATCATAAATAATACGAACACAAAAAAAAAACAACGACAACAAAAACAGTCTACCACCAAATAAATACACAACTAACAAAAATAATAATAAATAGCCAAATTCTATTTTAATTGCATAAATATTTCAAGTGTCACAAAAAATGTTGTTTTGCTGTTTCTTTTGCAGAAAAAAATCGTCATACCCTGGAAGGTGCGTCAAGTTGAAGAAACGAAACGTCTGAATGCAGCTGCATTGCAGCACAAACGACGCAGCAGTCACATCAAGAAAAAGTGGAAATGTGCCAAACGATTCCTGTATGGACCTCGTGGTCCCTGGTATACGGGGTAAGTAGTACCGGGTCTCTTGCATTCGGACTGGAGGGGGGTTTTAATTAGGAAAATTTCACTCGAGTGCAACGTGCAAGTGTAAAGCCCATTGCTGCGGGTAGCTTTGTAATAATGTCACCAATGGTGTAATAATAATTGCAACAGCAACAACAAACAGTCTTTATGTTGTACAACAATAAATATGTTGGATATTTGTTACTACAACAAAACGATGCGTGTTTTGTGGTGAAACACCTCTAAAAGGGAAAATTATTTTCTGCAAGGAAAAAAGTGTACATTGGTGTCAGGAAAAGGAAAATATGAGAAATATTTGTTAAATTGACGCATCGGCCAATGGTACTGTGATTCCGCAGACAAATAATTCCCACAGTCAGGAAGGTAATTTTTAAAGATTTGCCAAATGCTATACAAAAATGGTGCCAATTGTTTTTTATACCCCCAGCCAAATGATCCAAAATTAATAGCATTTAGTACTTTTCGAAAATATTTGAAAAACCACCACCAGATCTCAACGCCAGATACCGATAGAGACCTCAATATAAAATACGGGATTCCAGCTCTACACATTCACTTAATATCGAATTTAGTAACATATAGTACTTTACGTATAATTTTAGTACTAATTTGTAAAACGGTTACATATCTCAATCCAAGATCCTACAGGTATAGCAATATAAAAGTTGACGGTTTCAGCTCTATCCCTTCACCGCATACCAAATTTAGTACTTTTCGTACACATATATGTGACGCATTTTCAAATCCACCTCTAAATCAGAATCTCAGATACCAATAGAGACCTCAATATGAAATTTCGGGATTTAAACACTATTTTCACACCCAAAAGCAAATTTAGTACTCTTAGCTATATGGCTAGAGAGGGTATATATCATTTGATACGGCCAAAACGAGTCTCATCGAAATAACGGTTTTAAACCCTAGGTCTCTTTGGACCAAATCCGTTTCAGGACATTTGAAGTCGATCTAGCGATGTCCGTCTGTCTGTCTTACTGGGGCGTACGATAACTCTCGAAGGCAATGGCCGATTTGGTCCAACCTTGGTACATCGTAATATTATTATCAAATTTTGATCGAGTTCGGAGATGGGCAAAATCGGTCCACTCCTTCTGGTATCTACACCAAAAAATGTCAAAATTTTCAAAGAAAATAATTTACTGCACAGAAAGAGAAAGGATAATCCAATTTTCCTCCAACTTTGCAAATCCTAATATTTGCATTAGCGCTAGTTCAGGTGCGAAAATGGACAATATCGGTATACTACATCCAGTACCTCACAAAGGGTCAAGATTTTGAATAACTATAACAATTATAAAATGTGATATAAGTGTTCGATTATCTTCAAATTACACACATCACAATATTTTTATTAACCCAAGGTCTGCTGTGAAGATGGAATATATAGGTCGACTCCTTCTGGCACCTCCCCTACAAAGGGTAGAAATTTTGAATATTCATGAAACGCGAAATTAACACACAAATCCATTTAGATGTGATACATCTCAATATTTCTATCAACAAAATATCTGTTATAAAGATGGTAGAGATCGGACTATTCCTTCTGGTACCTTTCCCACGAAGGGTAAACGTTTTGAATAACAAACACAATCATAAAATCCGTAAAAAGCATCCGGTTCTCATCTAACTAAACACATTACAATATTTTTATTATACCCTCCAGCATAGTATGGAAGGTATATTAAGTTTGTCATTCCGTTTGTAACACCTCGAAATATACATTTTTATTGAAAATGGGCCATGACGTTACCTCCCGATATTCGATACTTTGTTGATTTTAGCGACATTATTCACCGGAATTCTTTCAAATTTGGTATTTAATGTTCGTAATGGGTGCTACAGCCTGTGACAGGAGATTGTCTGTGCAGGTCCACGTCTTCGTATAGCCCCCATATAACGGTACCTACCGATAACCCGGTATTTTGATGATTTTAGCGACATTATTCACCGGAATTGTTTTATTTGATTTGAAGTTCGTAATGGATACTACAGCCTAAGACTGAAAATTGTCTGTGCAGGTCCACGTCTTCTCATAGCCCCCATATAACGGTATCTCCCGATACTCGGTATTTTGTTTTTGAATAATTATTGTTTTTGAAAATTGCCAAATTCGTTTCAACTGGTGGAGAGTATTCAAAGTTCGGTTAGGCCGAACTTACAGCTTTTTTACTTGTTAACCCAAGGTCTGGTATGAAGATGGGATATGTCGGTACACTCCTTCTGGTACCTCCTCCACAAAGGATCAATTTTTTGAGTATCCATGAAGCTTATAAAGCGAGACATTAAGATACGATTCCATTCCGACTTGGTACATCTCAATATTTCCTTCATTTCTTCTGGTACCTCCCCCACAAAGCGAAATAGCATCCATCGGAATCGGTTTTGAAGATGATATATATCTGCGAACCCCTTTCGGTACCTCACCCACAAGGGGTCAAAATTTTCAATACTTTTATTTGTCACAACTTACGAAACAAGTCAGCGATTCTTTACAATTTGCCATATCTAAATATTTCTCTCAACCAGAAACCTGAGATGAATATGGAAATTATGATTTCGCATAAACTTAGATATTAACGTTCTATTTGGTTTTTTTTATCGATTGTAACTTTGCACATACACTTTTTTTATCTGTATTAGATGAAGTGTAAAAATAAAATACTTCGGTCCACTATATCTGGTAGCTCAAGCACATTTTTACATTTTCTCAAAAATTATAGCATATCTCATATAAAATAAAGCAATATTCATATCATATTTATTTAGGTCCGATACAAAATGCGTACAATAGTGGAACATTCCTTCGGAATCTACTCCGTAGAGAGTCGACAATTTTAATAATAATCATAACGGAAGTCAAAATATTTTAAAACTATCGAGGCAAAACCGACTGATACTTTTTAACTTGTTAAATATGAAATTTGAAACAATTCTTAAATCATAAAAATACCGAATACGAAGATATGTGCTGCAAATGTCATGGGATTATAAGTACCCATTAAGATCTTCAAATATGAAATCCGAGACAATTCCGGAAAGTAGTATCGTTTAAATTATCAAAATAACGAATATTGGGGTCTATACGAAAACGTGGACCGACATGACCCATTAACCTGCATCCTCTTAAAATACACATGTGCGCAAAATTGTAGCCTTCTATCTCAGTTATTTCTAAAGATAGCGTTATTAGAACAGACAGACAGCGGACATAAGGACATCGTTAATTCGACTTAAAATTTTACTCAAAACCAGAATTTATACACTTTTTAGGGCCTATCATGAGTATTTCGAGGAGTTACAAACGGAATGGCAAAGTTAATATACCCCTACATAGAATGGTGGAGTTTATACCCTCCTCATAAAAATCACCCTTTATCAAATTCAATTCGTACCCACTGTGCATGACATTTAATTACACTTGGGGAGTCTATTACAAAGTGACAATTTGCTTTATATCAACGGTAACAAATGTTATGTAAAAAATATTTAACAACAACAAAAATGGCGAAAGTAAATTCACCAACGAAATATTTCATTTATGAAATGATATTTGCAACAACAACAACAGCAGTAGCAACAAAATGTAACAACAGCTGCAACGACCGGCAGTTAGCAACACCAAATACAAATCGCATTTTGGTAAAATTATTTTTAATCAACATTCATAACTGAAAGTCATTCGCATGAAACGTCATTCCATTTCCCAAAAACAAAAAATAATAAACAAAAAAAAAATGGAAATAAAAAGTGGCAACCAGAAGTCCAACATTCCCATTTGTTGGTATTTCCTTTTCGAAAAGGTGAAAACTACAAATGCACCAGTTCCACGAAATGGCAACTAAGTCATTGTACCAAATGATATAAACATGCCATGAAAAGATGACTAACAATCACACATGGAAACAGCGACCAAAAACACTTCCAGAACGGCACCAAAAAGAAAAACTTCTTTACAGCATTAACAATGTGTTGAAAAGGAACATTATTCTGACACATTTCATACATGATATGACTTACACTTATCTTTGTCTAGTCTTCAAAATAAAATATATTGGAATATTTTATCATATCATAACTTTCTTAAAATGAATAAAAATAGAGATATTCGTCAAAATTCAAATACACAAATTCAAAATGTATTAATATTATAAATCTCAAATGTCTCGTAAGGAATAATCTCTTAAAATTCAAAAAGGCAAAAGGAGTTTGTTATTTTAGTAAGAACAACAAGCATATATATACTTTACAACAATATAATTTGCGAAAGAAAAGACATTGGGATACAGAGTTGGACTTCTTAAAAAATCATTTTAAATATCAAGGCTTGTCCTCTAATTATACTCTCAGTCATATGCCTAAAGAAGGTATATATCATTTAATACGGCCAAAACGTGTCTCATAGAAATAACGGTTTTGGACTATAGGTCTCTGTGTATTAAATCCTTTTCAGGACATTTGGATCGATCTAGGTGTGTCCGCCCGTCTGTCTGTCTTTCTGGCTGGCTGGTGCGCACGATAACTGTCGAAGCGAGTATCCTATTTTGTTCAAACTTTGTACATCGTAACATTAAATTCGTCATTCCGTATGTAACTCATCGAAATAATATTTTTAGGCCCTACAAAGTGCAGGGTGAGATAAAAAAAACTGGAACCAACTTCAGACTGCTGTCATTTCTAAGCCACTCGTCCTATAGCTTTAAAAATGATTTCAGTTACAGCTCATTACATTGTTTACAAGCGTACAAAAGCATTTTGGTGAGAATTTTCCAGAAAAAAGTTATTCGTGATGGAATTCAAGCGCGATAGTGTGATTTCATTATATTTGGCTGGAAAACCACAAGTGGCTATCGTTAGAGCACTCCAGCATTTAAATGTGAATAAATCTTTTATGTCTCGTACCATCGCTCGTTACCATGATACTGGTAGTGTAGCCCGACGTCAAATAAGTGGACGAAATAAAAAAG